AATATATTCATGAAATTATCGGTGTTACTGCGGTGTAAGTCCCGCTTCTAATTGCTATTTTCTTTGTTGTAACGAGATCATACGTTGGTTTAACCGTGTGAAACATTGTGACTGGATCAAATTAAGCGAAATTTTTGTTTTATATCTATCAAATATTTATGATACATAAAAAAAATATTAATACGAGACTTAACGCAATCACATAATACGTCTGAAATATCTTTGACTTGCTTGTCAATCAGACAGCTTGTGAATTATTATCGTGTAAGGGAGCAAACAAGCAGACGGGTCACCTGATGGTAAGCAACTAGCGCCGCCCATGGACAAATGCAACTCAAAAGTCACAAGTGCGTTGCTGCCCTTGGAGTCCCTCGCGCTGGAGTCAGCGGGAGGGGGATTTGGGCTCCGGTAGCCTCCGGTAACTCAGTGAAAGGCAACAAAAGAATTGCTTAACACCGGTTTTCTGTGTGCCGTGGTGTCCTGTGTGACCTGCGCTATCTTTAGTCACAAGCTGATACCTATTACATGAGCGTAGAAGAACCCAAAAACATAGGTGAAACTATGGAAAACAGCTGGTATTAATATTCATCATCATCATCTTCTTATCCTACTCCCAAATTTATTTGAGGTCGGTGTACGTCATCAACAGCCTTTAACAGTCTACTGCTGGACATAGGCCTCTCCTTAGAAAGGAGGTTTTGGCCTTCTATACCACGCCAGACGGGTTGGTATAGGGTTTGTTTCATGTTTTCCTTCTCTTTGCAGTGCTGTTGTCCTGCGCAGTTTGCTCCCTTAGGACACCCACGGGATGAAAAGGGGTGGTGACATTCCGTATTCTTAATCCGTCATGACACGGATAATCTGTTAATCTTAGTATACTGGGATTAGAAAAAAACTAACATTTATATTTATCATATAAAAAAAAGTTTCAATCATAAACCTGATATTCCAATTCTACTTGGCACCTGTTTTCACATTTTAAGCATTAGCTGGTGTAAATCGGTAAAAGAGACTCGATCTGTTTCCGACCAACAGACGTTAACGCGAGAGAACATTTTACTAGAACGCCTGTTGTCTCTTAAACATATCAGGCTTCGAATGATATGTGGGGAAAACCATATAACTGCAATGAGCATTAAATTAACACCAATTTATTTGTAAGAATCCAATGCTGCTGCACTGTACTGCACGGATGGCGTAGTGGTTTAAGCGGTCGCGACGCCGCTTCCTACTACGCCGAGTGTTGTGGGTTCAAACCCCACATGGGACGACACTTTTGTTGTGTACAAATTGTTGTGAATCACACAAAGTGTCGTCACCCTGGTCGAACACCCAGGATATATTCCTAATGCGGGAGTAGTCTTTTAAAAAAAGAAAAAAAAAAATTGATTGTTTTTGTGTAAAGATTTGCTTTTTTTTACATTTTGCAGTAGTCCTTAAGTATTATTTACCCAAAAAGTATAGATTTCCTATTAAAAGTATTATGGTAAGTAAATACTAAAGTAATTTCAGTTTGCTAAAGTAATTTTACGTTCCTTTCTGAATTTTACGAATCGACAAAAGTGTTACTAAAAAAGAATTTAGACTTGCTGGCTATTGCCCATTCGCCCATTCGAGTTACAGGAACGTGACCGTGACCAGTTCGAGCTATTTTTTACACGGCATTACTATCCCTTCTTATCTACCTTTCGTTTTCGATGAGGAAAGGTGGCAAAGGAGCAGACAGTGTACAATTTAATTTTAATTTCATTTCAATGTACTCCAAATGTTTCCATCTAATTTTTAATAACTCTTCTACGGTATTAGTCTTGCCCTCAGAAAATGACTCTGCCCACTCCTTCAGGGATAAAGGCACAAATGGGTAGATTCTTAGGTTTAAAATAAATTGCACCATTTATTGTAACATCTTAAAATAAGGCCTGAATTGTCCTCCATTATCAATTTGATCTTTTTGTTGATTAGATATATCGATATCAACATTAAATATAAATGATTTGACAATAGCTAGGTATGACGTCACAAAATAGTATTTCATACAAAAATATGCCGCGTCTATAGCGTTTTGACGTTTAAAAAAAGATACTGATTTAACTTGACAGTTATGTACCCTAATGTAAGTTTGTACGAAGCCAGAAGTTATTAAAATAAAAATGTGACTTAGGTCTTAAGAATTATTCTGTCTACTTGGCTAACGTAATGGTATAAGCTTCCTAAAACCGAGTCCAGCCCTAACTGTATATCCTAAAATGTGTGTATACTGCTGAACTAATTAACTCTACTGTACATGCTTCGTTCTCTGTATTCACTCGGTTAATTTAGGACGGTCCTCGGCTATTTTCGAGGCTCAACGCATGTCCTTACATAAAATCGTATAAGGCCTAATGACCACTACGCTGGAATTTCCACCCGTTCGCAATTAATTCCAATTCTCTAAAACATTTTTGGAATGTTTTTAAGACTTTCAAGATTACTTGATCTCTTTACGCTATTAGAACTCTGAAGAAATTAAGATTAATAATTTTGTTTAATATTAAGGCCTTAAACGTAATAAAATAGTCTAGATTGTACGTACATTTTAATAATTATAATTTAATTTAATTAAGTAGATACATCAAAACCCAGACTTGATAGTTTTAATAAGAGAGATAAATTAAAAATATGAAACTAAAAGTTATAAATATTAATATTATACTTTTCATCCTTCTCAAATATAGTTTCTTCTTTTTGGTTTTCTCGAAATTCATTGAGGGCTGAATATCAAAGATCATGATGAGTATTTGTTTATTGTTACACTTAATATCAGAGAGGTTTCTACTAATAAGCATTAGGATTCTTTAATTTTAAAGAACCGGTACCCTAGTTAGTAGGTCTTGGCATCTGAACGGACTGTCAAATAATCCAAAACTATGTATGTGATACCTACGAGTATTACACATCACTTCAACAGCCTTTAATAGTCCACTACTGGACATAGGCCTCTCCTCAGAAAGGAGGTTTTGGCCTACTATACCACGCTGGCCAGACGGGTTGGTACAGGGTTTGTGTCAAGTTTTCGGCGCCGTGACCGAAGAGGCGGTGAGCTGTGGCGGCGTGCTGTTGGCGGTGTCCTTGCACATCGCCAACGCATTCAATAGTCTGCCATTCAGCTGCATCAGGGAAGCATTCCACTACCATGGGGTGCCAAAGTACCTGAGGCGGCTAGTGGCAGACTATTTAGAGGAGCGTACCATCGTGTACGAGGACCGAGATGGTAATCTGAGGTGTCGGCCCGTGTCGTGCGGTGTTGCACAGGGGTCTGTTCTTGGACCTCTCCCAATGGAACATAGGGTACGACTGGGCCCTTCGACTTAATTTTCGCCCTGGGCTGGGTTTAATTTGTTACGCCGATGACGATTTGGTCACGGCCCGGGGGCGAATTTTTAAGAGGCGGCGCGCCTGGCCGCCGCGTCTCTCTGGTGGTCGGGCGCATTTAGGCGCTGGGCTTACGGGTGGCCCTGGATAAGACAGATGCCCTTTTATTCCATGGGCCCCGTCGTGGTCCGCCCCCCGGTGCCTCAATCGTGGTCAACTCGGTCCTCGTACCGGTTCAGGCCCAGATGAAATATCTGGTCCTGATCCTCGACGGGAGGTGGCTCTTTGACGAGCACTTCCGACAGCTTGCTCCAAAGCTGGTCGGCGCTGCGTCTGCCCTTGGGCGACTTTTGCAAAATCTAGATGGACCCAGCGTCGCTACAGGACAGCTGTACACGGAGGTTGTCCGGTCAGTAGCACTATACGGTGCACAGGTGTGGGCGGTGGCTCTGACCGCTCAGAATAGGGCACGGCTTTGGCGCCCTCAGAGGATTTTGGCGGTTAGAGCCAGGTTACCGCACTGTTTCGATGGAGGCGGCGTGCGGATCGGCTGACTATAAATGCGACGATGGAAACGTTAATAATATTATTTAAGTTTGTTTTAAAATTTGAAACAAACGTTTTCAAAATGGCATCCAGTTTTTGAATATAATGTGTAAAATTTATTAAATAAGCTAATGGCAACGTTTTTAATAGAAGTATATCAAAAGCGAATAAAACAAAACACAACGTGTATGAAAGCCACTTGTTTGGCATGAAATGAAATAAAGCTTCACAGTCGAAACTGTCGCAAATAAACTTTTTAATTACACTTCCCTCTCAATTTTGGTGACATAGAGGATTTTCGTTCATGTTCTGATTAGTCATTGTATATAGCATTACATTTTCTATTATAATATTTGTGGTCCTCTCCATGTGGTGGCGGGTTAAGGATACAGAGTGTCACCATCCCTATTCAACTGCAACTGCACAACAGCACCGCAAAGAGAAGGAAGACTTGACACAAACCCTGTACTAACCCGTCTGGCCAGCGCGGTATAGTAAGCCAAAACCTCTTGTATAAGGAGAGGCCTATGTCCAGTAGTGGACTATTAAAGGTGTGATATCTATTGTGATATCTATGAAAAATAAACAAATTCACACATGCACTTACGCCAACTGTAGGCAATTTGTTAATGCTCATGTAATAGGTACTGTAGCATACTGCCAGCCATTAGGAAATAAATATACGAAAATTAGGTGGATATTGAAAGTTACAACTATGTATATAGGCTTAGCTTTGCCAGGTATATGGATTTAAGGGAGTATATATCAAAAAATAATAACGCTCGTAATTAAAAGGTATCTAAAATATAACTTCAGGATTAAAAAACTTAGGAAGTAATGATTAAATAATAATTATAGATGGGATATGTATAAGATATACCGCTGTATAAATAAAACAAACTATGACATATATATAATTTGTATTAAATCAACAATATTCTTAAGTCTTTACATTCTTTGGCATAGTCGTCAGCTCTTTAAGTACAATTAACTATTTTCATTTAAATTCACAATTTTATCCGAAGTGATCGAATACATCTACCTATTTATATTTTTATCATTTAATTTATATTTATACACATTATACCTTTATGTTTTGACACCTATGTGTTGTTTGCCCAAACAACAATAAGAATTAACATCAGAAATTGGCATACTTGCAAATGGGATGCTGATCCTGGTGATGTCACTGAAACAAAAATTATCATTAAATTTTATTTACTGATTTTAAAACTAATTTTACAAGAAGTAGTCTGTAAAGATGTTTTATAGACGCTTTTACATAATTGCAGACAAAATACAAATAATATAAGTTGGAAAATCAGAAAATAATGGGTATAAGTAAAAGTAAATGGGTTGCCTAACACGTGAAAGTTAAAATAGATGAGGCCTGTTTAAGAAATTGGGTTTCGATTTCAAGGTTATATCTAAACTAAGAATTAAAGACACTTTATAGTTAAATTACATTGCTTAGTGTTTTTAATCCAAAATAACTATAAATAGGTCAAAAAACGAACAAAATACATACTTTGGGCTTAAACAGAAGAATAGAAAAAAAAAGTACATTCGGCTCTTTGCGGTTTTACTAACAATTGAATTGAAGTGTAATAGTTCAAATGACAGTAAAAACTGATCGATCAGGCAATTATTTCATGGTCTGGATTATGCTGGCAACATACACAATACATTTGTTTTTAAACTTAAACTAATATTTATATATCTACTTAGCAAACTCAAACACATTGTAATCTATTGACTATAAACAAATAATTTAAGTCAGATGTATTCAGAAATTATCATTATTTGTTTATTATTTATTTTTGGTACCATACAGATTGTAACAAATTTTACACCGTAAATATTCTAAATAATCCAGAAGTAACAAAATGTTCTAAAACTGCACCAAATAATTGCCAATAAACATTGATTGCAAGCACAAAATTCCAGTAACCAAAATTCTGCTATAGCAAATGTTCCTTCATTTACTGAAACAAATGAACCCTTTACTAACGACCTAATATTTATGTACAAGTCCTTTGTTCTAAATATGATAAATTCCTAGAACAGAATTACAAACATGTGAGAGGAGGCGTGTATCCCTTAAGTCAAAGATAAATTTACTATCTACCGACAAACACCGCACTGTTGCCCACAGAGGAAATTGTCTGGGCAAATGAGACGGTAGGCAATAACTCATTGGGCCCTCAATGCCCTCTTTGGTTCTCGTAATCTTATTAGCCGGGCTTCCTCTCGTCGGATATTAAAGAGATGCGGGCGTGTTCTGCAATTTTTGGAATTCGCCGCGTGAAATATTTTGCTTTTTCCATTTCACCTAACGGTTTTCAATTTACTGCGAAATTGTTTTTAATTTCAATTTGGTAGTTCTTTTGTCATTTTAATGTCTTAATTGGATTAAAAGTGGGCAGCGAAATAATTATGCTAGATAACTATCTAAGCTAACTAGCTTACATTATTATTTTTAAATACATATTTAGAGTCATGTGGGTTAAGATCATTTAAACTTTAAAGCTAAATAAAATCAAAAAATATTTTTAGAATAAAACGAACCCATGTTAATTAGTAAGACTGTTTATTTGTCAACAGTTGGGAGACAAGGATGGTATTTTCAATAGCTTATATTTTAAGATATTATAAAAACAAAAAGCACTCCGAACAAGCACACTTGCCTCAGTATGGGGGTAAAAGTACGCAACAATAAAAAATGAGACTTTGAGCTATAATTTATAACTAGATATAAAAATATAAACAATATTATTACTTAAGTTTTTTTTAAATACTTATACTATATAAAACCAAATAAACTTTATAGAAATCAATTTGAACTTGGAAAACCTCAGTGATCTACAAAAAAAAAATGCCGCGTTCGTAGCTGTCTCTGTGAAATAGAACGACCTTAGTAGATCGCACGTTATAATTTATACGAATATAATCATACTGCAAAAATACTCCTAGCCTTGATCGTTTGATTGTATCTTCTGTACAGCTGGCGTAGTGGTTTGAGCGGTCGCCACGCCGCTTCCTACTGCGCACTTTGTGTGATCCACAAATTGTTGTTCTGAGTCTGGGTGTTCTTTGTGTCCGTTTCATGTATGTTTGTAAAGTCCCCCGCGACACAGGATATATTCCTAATGCGGGAGTTGTCTTTTTTTTTAAAAAAAAGGGCTTCGCGTAGATAAAACAATATTCCAAAAGATATCAGGAAGGTTAAAGAAATTACTATGTTTAAAAAGAAACTACATGAGTTGATGCTAAATAAATATTATACAGTTAAATATTACATGAGCTAATCTGTCTCTGCTCCATTACTCTATACTCAGTCATGATGTGTTCAGTGTTCCCTACTCTTATTATTGTATGTCTACGTTATTCTTGCCTGTTTACAAATTCTGTTACAATATGATCCATATTGAAATGACAAATTTTATTATTTATTGCGTGTACATTTATTCTAATAATTTTATCTATTGTATGCCCAATGGGCGGGATATAGCCGGCCTAAATACCGATAATTATAACATCTATATAATGTACCTATGATCGGTACGTACGTACGATCGTACGGTAGTGATCACCGACTTGTCCGGGGCTCTCTGAATATCAATTTTAAGGCGGAACGTGTCTGTTTGATGAAATCCAGGCTCCGACCGACTCTGCTCCAAGCCATGACAGGATCTGAAACGTTCCAGTCAAAACTGGAAAACCGATTCGCTGCCGTGAAAACCACAATCGACGTAAACCAGAACCTCGAAAATGTGGTTCGGATCCTCAGGGAAGAAGGTACGAGATTTTGTGAAATGCAGCGTAAGGGCAGGAAGTCGAAGCTTTCAGAAAGGACCCTAGGGCTGATGAGGAAACGACGTGAAAACCCACCTGTCACTTTGTCGGCAAAGCGGACTCTAAACCGAGGGGTCAGTAAACTCGTACGACACGACCTCCGGTGCTCCAATACTCTTTTAATTGAAAGAGCGATCGAGCAAAATCGGGGGTCAAAAGTGTTCGTACAATCTCTTGGAAGAAGCCACCTGACAAAGTTGACCACAGAAAGTGGAGAAGTCGCTGCTTCGAAGCCGGCAGTCCTTTTGGAAGTGGAAAGCTTCTATGGCCGGTTATACGCTTAGCATGCATCTCGACCTGATCCCGAAAATGAGGACTCTAGAGCCACATTAACACGTCACTACACCGAAGACCTGCCAGAAGTTAGCATTGACGAAATCGAGATGGCTTTTGGACAGCTGAAAAATGGAAAAGTCCCTGGAGAGGATGGCGTTACAATAGAGCTGCTAAAGGCCGGGGTAAACCTGTACTAAGGGAGCTCCAAAAGCTCTTCAACGCTGTCCTGTTTGAAGGGAGAACTCCGGAAGCGTGGAGTAGGAGTGTGGTCGTCTTGTTCTTCAAAAAGGGTGACAAGACCAGGTTGAAGAACTATCGACCCATATCTCTTCTAAGCCACATCTACAAGCTGTTTTCGAGAGTCATCACGAACCGTCTTGCGCAAAGACTCCACGAATTTCCAACCACCAAAGCAAGCTGGGTTTCGGAGCGGATATGGCACCATAGACCACATCCACACAGTGCGGCAGATTATACAGAAGACCGAAGAATATAATCAGCCCCTGTGTCTAGCAATCGTGGACTATGAGAAAGCCTTTGATTCGATCGAGATCTGGTCTGTTCTAGAGTCCCTGCAACGTTGCCAAGTAGATTGGCGATACATCCAAGTGATGAGATGTCTCTACTAAGCCGCCACCATGTCAGTCCAAGTTCAGAATCAGCAAACAAGGCCCGTACCATTGCATCAAGGAGTGAGACAAGGGGACGTTATTTCCCCGAAATTGTTCACAAATGCAATGGAGGACATGTTCAAGGCGCTGCTCTGGAAAGGGCGTGGCATCAATATCAATGGCGCATACATCTCTCACTTGCGATTTGCAGACGACATCGTCATCATGGCAGAGACGTTGCAGGACCTACAGCAAATGCTGAATGACCTAGCTGACACTTCTGTACGCATCGGCCTACGGATGAACTTGGATAAACCAAGGTCATGTTCAACGAACATGTACTACCGGAACCGATTGCGGTACACGGTGCCGTTCTCGAAGTTGTTTAAAATTATGTGTACCTCGGGCAAACATTGCAGTTAGGTAGAAACAACTTCGAGGACGAGGTGAACAGAAGAATTCGGTTGGGTTGGGCAGCGTTTGGGAAGCTACGTCGAGTCTTTTCATCGTCGATCCCACAGTGCCTTAAGACGAAAGTCTTTAATGAGTGCGTCCTACCCGTCATGACATACGGATCTGAAACGTGGACACTTACGATACGGCTGGTCCACAGGTTCAAAGTCGCTCAACGTGCTATAGAAAGGGCTATGCTCGGCGTTTCTCTAAGTTATCGCATCAGAAATGAGGTGATCCGGCAGAGAACCAAGGTCACCGACATAGCCTACCGGCTCAGCAAGCTGAAGTGGCAGTGGGCTGGTCATATTAGCTGCAGAACCGACAACCGTTGGGGAAAACGAGTTCTTGAGTGGAGACCGCGTCTCGGTAAACGTAGTGTAGGACGCCCACAGGCCAGGTGGAGTGACGATTTGCGTAAGATGGCTGGCAGGAGCTGGATGCGAGAAGCCCAAAATCGATCTAAGTGGCGTGTAATGGGAGAGGCCTATGTCCAGCAGTGGACTGCGATAGGCTGATGATGATGATGATGAATGTACCTATGATCTACAATACAGATTACTATTACTATCTTAGTTGCATTAAATTGGGTTTAGTTCCTTGATTATTAACTATTTTAGTAGAATGGTCAGCTCAAAACTAAAATGGTTCTTTTATAGAAGACCATTATAATGCCTACATGACACGTGTACAGTTTGAGCTTATGTTAAATTGATACTTGATGTTGTTTCGGTATTTCATTTGTATGCACCATCTAGTTTTAAACTATTGATCAATGTGTAGTTGAAAATATCTCTTTGCTAAATAAATTCATTTATCACTTTCTTCATTATTTATCATTTTCTGCCTGACGTTATATGATTATTTTGACATTAGTTTGACTTTGAATATTTGCCATTGTATGTATCACAATCTTTTTATAGTAATCAATGATGCTAATAATATACCTATAGGTTATTTTAAGTTTTGTTTAAATTATATGCAATTATAAAGCAAGCAGTCCACTGCTGGACATAGGCCTCTCCTATTGCACGCTACTTCGATCGATTTCGGCTTTTAATAAGTAAGGTGTATTTAGCTCTCACTAAAAGTAAGTGGCGAAACATTTCTTATTAAGAAAGTAATAATTATTCTCGGTAACCCAAAATACATACTTTTATTGAGTGCTTTTAGTTTAAATCAACTGATCGTGTTTCTAACCTAACCAATAAACTTAATGGATCTTAACTTTATCTTAGATCACGGCTGTGTATTTTGATGACGAGCTGTTAGGGCGTTTGATGTCTTAATTGATTTTAATACGGCATGTGATAGCACAATTACAACGTTTGACTGTAATTCACTGCCAAAATGTTATGTTGACGTGACATCGAAATAGTCAAATATTCACTTTTGTAATTAAACTAATTACTAAAACTAAGTCTCTGTCTTGACTAATATTAATAGTTTCTCGAAATGTGATTATGGATTTTAATCAATAAAAAAAAACATTACAGAGGGGAAACAATAATAACCTCCTAGTCGTAGAAAAGTGTTGATTTTACATTTATTGAACTTTACTGGGCAGCCATTTCAAATTATTGTGTAATTTTTTTTAAATGACTTTTTTGATTCTATTATGAAAATTGGCATACAAGTGAAAAATAGGGTTTGTTTTAAAATGCAATAAAAAATCACAACTAATAATAATACAATTTTCTCGAAAAATCACATGCTTCATGTTTCTTTAAACGCCTATCAAACAAACACTGAATAATTTAAAATCTAAAATACATATATTTTTTTCTTGAATGCAGTAATAATATTAAGACAATTTAGTATCCAAATATGGTAAAAACTGAATTTCGTATGTTTTTCAAAACCGACATTATTCTACAATCATGAAGATAAGATAGAATACATAAAGTTTTTTTAAAACCAAAAACAGACAAATATTATAAATTTCTACTAATAGTCTTTGATATCTCTAATGGCTTTAAGTGTTAGATTTTCACATGACGTCATGAAAAGTGATAATCTTCAGATTTAATAAAACCAAAACATTATGGACCGTCGTGAAAATAGCAATTATGCTTGATGGGAGCACGACGTACAAGCCCTTTACTGAACATTGTAATGAATAAATTTCGTGAGTGCTGTTGAGCACTTTACATAATTTTATATTATGAATCCACCCCAGAGATTACAGAAATCCAGAGTCTAGTGAAAGGTATAAGTTTAGTTGCGGCAATTCAGGCAATTTTGGAATTGGAGTAAGAAAATTCTAATTTCAAGACGATGTATTTTAATTCTGTGTTTGCCAGAAGTAGTAATAGCAATTTTCATTAAATGTTCCTTTCTGCCGTCTATGAAACCGGAGCATCGTAACCAGTTGCGATCGAAGACTTTTTCCTCCTTGCACGAAACCAGTTGAGAATATTATGTTTTCTATTTATCTTCGTACCAGTACGAAACCAGTCCACAATATAAAACCTCTAAAGGTTTTTGTAATCAAAACTCCATAGTAATATGATTAATGACTGGCCACTACCTTTTTAAGATAAATCACGTAATCGTTGTTAATTTTTTCAAAAATAATATCAGGAAGTCCAAGAATTATTTGGAAATTGATGAAGAGATTCAAAATTCCCTAAAAGAAATAAACATTTCAGTAGGGCATTGTATTGAAATAATATGTCCATATGCTTTTACGTTTTAATTTGTATTTTTATTTGCATATGAAAAATAAGATATTTTGTAATTTGATTTTAATTCAATATTAATATTTTTTTCTAAGCTAGCTATTCTTTCTTTACGACGAAAGGAGCGACATAGGAGCCATATTCACAAGACTAATCTGTCTGCCTGTCATCATGTCCTGCATTCTTGATGCACAGACTTTTAACGAAAAGAGATAAATCGATACTATATCGAATTTGATAAGGACAAACAAGGCTTCGATCGTAACTGGTTACAAAAAAAATAAGATCAAATCTTCGATCGCAACTGGTTTTGTACAAGGACGAAGTAATAGTCGATCGCAACTGGTTACGAAGCTCCGGTTTCGTAGACGGCCAAAAGGTAAATGTTAAGTGAAAAAGGTTTTACTTCCACCACAAACTTTTATTTTGAATTTTGTAATTTATTTATAAGGTTTCTTTAAAGATGACTGCAGAAGATATTCATGGAGTAAATTCAAATAATTATAACTATCTTCGATTATTATTTTTTTTCCTTTGGACGTTGAAGGAACGTGGGATAACTTATTTTATAACGCTAGGCAATTGGAAAATATATACGCCTTAATGGTACAGTATATTTGCACAACATCGTTTCTTCTTCCTAACGCTTCTGATTTAAGTAAAACATTTAACCTTATTTCCTGACTTACCTCTTTCAATTTTAGGGTCACTATTGCCCGAATACAGAGCAATGACTGCATCATCTTTGTACAAATCTCCAATTCTGGCTTGACAACGAAGCATTGGCGCCCCGCGCTCAAATTGAGCTGGCCACAGCTGGAAGTTCACGTACAGCTCGGAGCGGTAGAGGCCTTCTGGCGCTGGGTATACTTGATGTGAGCTCGGAGTTACCTGAGTAAAAACACAATTTTAACTTTTATAATAATTTGACTGCACGCATGGCGTAGTGGTTTAAACGGTCACCACGCCGCTTACTACTACGCTGAGTTCTGTGGGTCCGATCCCCACATGGGACTACACTTTGTGTGATCCACAAATTGTTGTTCTGAGTCTGGGTGTTCTTTGTGTCCGTTTCATGATATACTTATGCCTGATACGAGAGTTGTCTTGTATAAAAAAAATGGTTCATTTTCACAACACTTAGTTGACATCATTACTGTTTAAGAATTTTGTTTTATGTTCATTAAGTCACGTCTATATGAAACTCGATGTTTTGTTTTCCTTTTCTACATCTACGTTAGTAAAAATATAACAATTATTGGATGGATAATACGTTGCGATAGTTAAAATCCCATCTTGCAAGATATAGTAAGATACAGAGACAGGTGAAAAACAGGTTTCTTTCTGTGCGGTAATCCCTTAAGACACTATCTCAAGAAAAAGGCAAAAAAAGTTTATTTCTCAACAAAACCATACGGTACCGTACCTTTCATACATATTTAGTTTGCGAGGTGACTTACAAATTGATTGGTTAAAATCCCTATATCGTCTACGTAAATACTATGAAAATAACCGTTATTTTATCTTTACTAAAACACAGAAAATAAACAGAAGTGTGATATTTTAAATAACAACATCCTTTAACACAGCAAATTTTTTACTTGGAAAATAACTATTTGCGACAACATAAAAAAGTCATTCTATGAAATTTAATTGCCATAAATTCATTAAAACAACATAATAACGCTCAGTATTTAAGTTTTATAGCACTTTACAATTACGTAACAGAGCACAAATTGACTTAACAGCAGCTGTTGTAGAAATCAAAAAAGACCTCAGACAAAGTAGCTTACAGTACGAAAATTTGCAAATATCAACACAACAAACAATGAGTCAACAGTTGTTGTATTCGCGCCACAACAAACAAGAACGACTGTTTACTGCTATTCACATTTGTAACTATGATTTACATTTTAGAGTGTGTATAGTAATAAAGTAACAAAACAGCTTGGTCAAAATTTTAAAACCTTTTTATTACGGTTTTAAAATGAAAATATTTGCCATTGTTCCCGTGATTAGAATATTACTTTTCATTTGGCATTTTTTGATTACTATCTAAGATTAGCCCAAATCTGTTTGAACTATTTGACTGCCTCGGTGGTGCAGTGGTAACGTATGCGACTGCTGTGCGGAAGTCTCAGGTTCGATTCCCGGGTCGGACCATATGTTTGTAAGATCTGCAAATATTTGTTTAGGAGTTTGGATGTTTTCTATGTATAATATGTATGTATTTACAAGAAAAAAGTATTACAAGCTCTGCTTAGTTTGAAACTAGATGGCGTTGTGTGTCAATGTCTGAAAAAATATTATTATTAGTACAGTAAAATAGTATCTACAACATATTTTACAAAAAACATTAGAATATTGTACTGTTCGTAGCATACCGTTAAATGTCGTTTAGTTCGTGTGGTATTGGTTGGTAAACCCATTAAATGCAAATTAAATGGAAAACCTTGCATTTTTTAAACACTAAGTTTTCGAGCTCTCAAATTAATTTTGCTGATGGAAATTGCATTCCAAAATCATAATATTATCACCGATCTAAATAAAACTGCTATACAGTAGTAAGTTCAGTTCTACTTAAACAATACTAGCGGAACTGCGTCCTAGATACTAAAATCTCAAAAGCATTCGCTGTGGTATCCGCGAAATGTGAAACTGTGAAGGCATTAAAACTTGCCACTATAGAATTTCAGTTGGAACAACCGTAGCTTTCGTAAAGTTATTTTAAGTTCTCTTGAAAGATCCCAATCCGAGGAAGTGACGAATTTCATAAGCGGATTATAATATTGTCGAAGCTAAACCTGTCGCAATTGTATAGTCGAATAGTAGGTAACAAAACAATTAGGGCTTAACCAAAGTCCCTAATTCTGAAACAACTTTTTGGTAGTACCCGATTTCCATTTCCCGAGTTTTTCCATTTGTTTGAAATTATGATTAGAATCTTAAAATAAGTTTTTACATCTTAGATTACTAAGTCAAAGAACTCTTCCAGCATAAAATACGTAGTTATTACGTTTACCTATATAGATGTTTATAGTAATAAATTGGCTTTGTGAAAAGCAATAAATATTAGACAGGATATTGCTTTAAGATAAAGCATTGGTTATGAGATAGCCGTTCGAGTAGCTTTTTGCCGCAAATATCCGGGTTCAGCGTTCAATTCCACGTAGCGCTTACATAAACGAAATGGTAATAAATTTTGTTTCTGTGATATATCATAGTAAATTTGAACTACTAAGAAGTTACATTATTATGTGTGAAATACAAAGAAGCAAGAAATCGATTTAAACTAATTCTTTCATAAGATTTGATTCAGAAGTTATTTTAAACGGGATAACTATTTAAGAATTTCATTTTTTTGAAAAACTTGTTTCTGATATTTCGGTAATGTTGCTAGCACCACGATCACGGATAAACTGAGTTTAATTTCCTGAAAATAAACATGTTATATATTCCGTTGAAAATAACTTATGGATCAGAAAATCGTTTAAAAATATCATTTTGATATATCTTCTTTTCTTATTTATTTTATTAAAAAAATGTTATCAGGGATGTTATCTGGGAGGGGCGCTGCTGAGCAACTGTCAACATCGGCTCTGTGTTTTTCTTGCGAAAATAAATATAAAAAACGCGAAGTTACAGTGAATCTACTATAAAAAATGAACTTTAGTGTGCATTATTCAAGAACAAAGTTAAAATAGCAACAATAGTCAACTAAACAGTGCAAAAAACAGTGTTCGTATAATTTACGTAGGTACCCGGCGACTTTTTTTATTGACAAAACAGTGAAAAAAGGGAAGTTTAGGCAACTTTGCTCTTCGTAAAACTACTTGTGGCTGTGAAATAATCAATCATCGACTAGAAAGACTCTGTACAGTGACTTAGTAAAATTCTACAAAACATAACTTAAAATCATCGTCATCGTATACTAACGCCATCTATTGGCAAGTAACGATATCTGTTAAACTAGACTAAATCAACCTACGTACAAAGTTCTAGAAATTGGCAATAGAGTCCACTACTAAAAGATTTATCAATCGATACTGTCTTTTTGCCAAGTTCCGAAGAGCATCAAAAGGGGTCACTACTTGTATGGTTAACAAAGTACAATTTTTTTTGAAATTTATTTTTCATCACAATGGAGCAGGTAATGGCCGCACTTCTTTCTATTCAGAAAGAACTCACGGAACAGAAAAAACTTATACACAAAAAAGGGGAAGAAGTGACAGAGAAGGTAACATTAAATATAAATAAAATATTAGAAGAAAAATTAAAAATTTTAGAAGAAAAACATGAAAACCTTAAGTCGAGGGTGGAAAATCAAGAGCAAAGACTATACTATATGGAGAGACAATCAAGACAACGCAATCTAGTCCTCTTTGGGTTAGAGGAACACGAAAAGTCCTACTCAAATCTAGAAAATATTATAGTAGACTTTGTTCACAAACACTTCCCAATACAAATAGACCATAGAGACTTACAAGCGGTCAGAAGAATAGGGAAGAAGACTGATAAGCCACGACCGATAGTTATTACGTTCATAACACTTGGCATGAAGATCGATATCTTGAAAGGCAAAGGAGCCCTAAAAGAAACACCGTATTATATAAAAGAAGACTACCCCCAATCAGTCCTACAAAAAAGAAAAGAGCTACAGGAACAAGTAAAAGCTGAAAGAGAGAAGGGTAATACAGCCATCATTAAATACGACAAGCTTATTCTACTAAATAATTCATCCAAAGAACCGAAAAACAATAAAAGAAACCTATCAAAATCTCCAGAGAATAACATAATCAACCACGCCAAGCAGATATCACAAGCAAATAAAAAGAACAAAACCATGACCGCCCACACAGTACAAAGGTCTTCAAGCTTTTCCGTAGTAAAACCGAGCATACTAAACTATCTAACAAACAAAAAAATTAATGAAAAAACAAACGTACAAGCCAACACTACAACTATATAGCAACGAACTAGCCAGCCTCTCCCAGAAAACAATAAACAAACTGAAAAAGCTACATCAACACATAACACGCATCTTCCAAGCCGGCTGGTCCCCGTGGAAGAGTACGACCACAACCCTCCAGGGAAACCACAAAAACAAAAAGCCACTAAACTGGACAAAAACTCTAAGAATTGTATAAAAATCGGAACTTATAATGTCAGGTCTCTGTCATCAATACACCGATACTTAGAACTTAATAATGCACTGAAAGATATAAACTGTGACATACTAGGACTCTCAGAAACAAGAAAAATGGGTTGCCACATAGAAGAGTATTCAGACTATGTTTTCTGCTATATAGGACAAACAAAGGGATTGTATGGAGTCGGATTCCTAATAAAAAAGTCATGGAAAAATAATATAACTAACTTTACTGGCATTTCGGAGCGAGTAGCGTTATTACAAATGAAATTTGGCAGTCTAAACATTTCCATAATCCAGGCATACGCACCCACGGAAAGATCAAACGATACAGAAATACAAAAATTCTACAAGGATCTGAAAAAAGCTCACTCACTAGCCGATGAGAAAATCATAACATTAGGAGACTTCAATGCAAAAATAGGGCAACCCAAAAAAGAGGAAAAACTCGTCATGGGACAGTATGGGCTAGGCCAAAGAAACGAAAGAGGCGAACGACTGCTAGAATTTGCATTTGAATATAAACTAACAATAATCAACACTTATTTCAAAATAAGACATAGCAGAAGATGGACTTGGAAGTCACCAGACGAAAGTGTTAAAAATGAAATCGATTACATCATGACAAATGTCCCAAAAATAGTTCAAAATTATGAAGTTCTCAATAACGTAAAATTCCGAACAGACCATAGACTACTCAGAGCAAGAGTCCTATTGAGTCAATTGAAAAAAAGTAGAAAAGTCTTTAAACCACCGCCAAAAATTCCGAAAACTGAAGAGGTAACAAGACACTATATAGACAGCCTCAAATTGAACATCGAAAACAAACTAGTAGATACAAGAAACGTACAAGCTTACTATGATGCGCTAGAAGTAACTATAACAAAAAGTTTAACTAGCCAAAACAATCCTAAAAAAGAAAAACTACACAAAATATTTAGCCAAGAAACAATAGCCTTAATTAACAAACGCAGTGAGCTTACTATAAGAAAGAATAAAGATGCTAATACAAAGAAATAACTAAGCAAATTATATAAGGAAACAAGCAAAGCGATCAAACGAGACTATAATAAACACAGGCAAAGAATAATAACAGAAAATCTAAACAATTTCAAAAGCACAAAGAAAGCATTTAAAGAACTGAACTTAAGAAAAACTTGGATACAAAAACTAGAAGGCCAACACAAAGAAACTAAAACCAGACAAGAAATCATACAGCAGGCAACTACTTTCTACCAAGAATTATACAAAAACAAAGATAAAAACATCGAGGAAGCCAACGAATCACACTATTGTTATAACACGGAAACAATTAGACCGATAGAAGAAAAAGATATATACGACCAGTTGAAACAACTAAAATCAGATAAAAGTCCTGGTCCCGATGGAATAACCAATGAAGCTTTGAAAATAGGTGCACCAGTTTTACTTAAACCTCTCACAGAATTATTCAACTGCATACTAGAAGCTGAAATCGTACCTATCCAATGGTGCACGTCAGACATCATACTACTATATAAAAAAGGAAACCCTCTCGACATCAACTATAGACCAATTAGTTTACTGGCAAACATATACAAAATCTTCTCATCTATAATTCTTAAACGCATAACACAAGAGATTGAAAACGCACAACCAATAGAACAAGCTGGCTTTCGCTCTGGGTTTAGCACACTAGACCATATACAGGCACTGGAACAAGTTATAGAAAAATACGAAGAGTTTAATAAGCCACTATATCTAGGTTTTATCGATTACAGCAAAGCATTTGACAGCATAAGCCACAACTCGATATGGAAATCACTAAAAAAAATTAAACATAAATTCAAAATATATAAAGATTATCAAATACATATACAACAACAGCATAAGTAATGTCATGCTAGAATCTAGAGGTGATGCAATTAATATCGAAAGAGGAGTCAGACAGGGGGACCCCCTGTCACCTAAATTGTTTATTGCGGTTTTAGAAGATGTATTTCGAAACACTGACTGGAAAAATAAAGGCATAAAAATAAACAACAGCTATCTAAGCCATCTCAGATTCGCGGACGACATAGTTATACTGTCTGAAACAGCAAATGAATTACAAGATATGCTCCGCTCTCTTGCTGTAGCAAGCTCAAAAATAGGATTAGAGATGAATGCTACAAAAACTAAAATCATGACAAACCACAGAGAACGGCCCATCAATGTAAAAGAAAAGTCTATAGAATATGTCCACAGTTACATCTACCTAGGCAAACAAATATCATTTTTGAAAACGCACAATGAAGATGAAATTGAAAGAAGAACAAACATAGCTTGGAAGAAATTTTGGTCACTCAAAGAAATTCTAAAAGGAGACTACTCGATAAACCTTAAGAAAACGGTATTAGACACCTGTATACTGCCTTGTCTACTCTATGGCTGCCAAACTTGGATATACACAAGAAAAGCAAAACAAACGATCACAACAACACAAAGAGCTATGGAGAGAAGCATCCTAAATATAAGAAAGATACAAAAAGTCAGGAGCAAGGAAATCAGACAGAAAACAAAGATAACAGATGCCCTCACGCAAGCTTTAAAATTGAAGTGGCAGTGGGCAGGTCACGTATCGAGATACACAGACAGCAGGTGGACAATCAAAACAACAAAGTGGAAAGGGCCAATCGGTAAAAGAAGGGTAGGGAGACCAAAAAGAAAATGGGCTGACGATATAACCGAATTAATAGGAAAAGACTGGCAAACTATCGGCATGGACAGAGATGAGTGGAAAGGACTGGAGGAGGCCTTCACCCGAGGAGGGGTCCATATCCAAACAGAAAAAAACTAACCCTTACTAACATTTAGACAATAAGAAAAACATGAATAACTAACTAAACACTAACAAACAAATACCAACATTTGAAATGGAAATTAAGGATACGGAAATACAGGCTTTTTTATTTTTTTATTTTATTATATCTTCTTTTCTTATTTATTTTATTAAAAAATGGCAACAAACACACATACAAACATACATGAAACGGATACGAAGAACACCCAGACTCAGAGCAACAATTTGTGAATCATATAAAGTATCGTCCCATGTTCGAATCGAACCCAAAACACTGAGCGTAGTAGGAAGCGGCGTGGCGACCGCTTAAACCACTCATGTACCATCAGTCGGTTCATTATATTTAAGGATATCAAAAATATATAGGAACATTGTTACATACAGGTATTTTTCTAATTTTTACTACAAGAACTTTATTTTAAAAGTGAGTATCGGAATTCAAAAAATCGACAAAAAAATCGAATATTTCGAATGAGAGAGGCCTAAAATGAATAAAACTACAGAAATTTGACACAAAGAATGTTCTGGAACATCTTGATTTTTCTTGAAAACACTTTTACAATTTGTAACAACATATTTCAAAGTGTATGATAGATAGAAACAAAATTGAGCATTCAAGAAACATCTGTTATCTCCGGTGTCTGTCGATAAGCTATTGAGAACTTGGAGCCAAAACACGTCTCCCGTTCACGGGCTTGCTTTATAATATTAGAAAGTGTGTTTAATACTTTTTTTATTTAACTTACTTACTGCCTTAAGTTTAAGTCTCTGAGAGAATAAGTTGGCAGTTAAAGATAACTTACTTTTCTTTAAATTGTCTTCATATTGAAATAAAAGACAGGCCTGATGGTCTAGTTCATCATCATCATTAACAGCCTTTAACAATCCACTGCAGGACAGGTTGTCCTGCAGTGGACTTTCGCCTACTATACCACGCCAGACGGGTTGGCATAGAGTTTGTGTCAAGTTTTCTTTGCCTTTGCAGTTTTGTTGTCCTGCATAATTTGCACCTTTAGTCGGCTCTTACGACACCCATGGGATGAGAGGGGGTGGTGACAATCCATATTCTTAATCCGTCACCACACGGACAATATTTAGGTTAGCAACTAAGCACCTGGACAAATAATGTGTGATGAGCACATTTATTTGTTCTATGTCTGAGTATAATTTATCTGTAATATGTATGTATTTATCAATATAGCTAGTTTAGAATCAGACAACCGTGTGTGAGATATTTAAAGTTATTATAAATATTTAGGGTTCCATGTATGATAATGAAATGCAATGCAGTTAAGTTAAGCAAATAAATGATAACGCAGTTTTAAGCAACATCAATTAATTACATACACATCATTAATATTAAAATTCCTACTCATTTCTTAATTGGTTTACTCGTGTACACTCCATTTTACTTAATTAAAAACTGATGATGATACTTACAGGCATATCGTTGATGAAGAATTCGAGCTGTGCCGGTGGTCGACTGGGGCCTACCGAGCAGTTGGCTCGGAGTACATCCCCTGGTATGTAGTAATGTTGACTTGTCTGTAGTATCGGCATTGACGGTGGAAGGGCTGTTAAAATAAAGAGCAATTAGCTAATAATTCATGTTTTTTATACTTTTAATTTCAAGATTGGTTTTTATACGCTTCAAAAACTCAAACAGTTTTGCATCAACTGATCTCAAATTTTGACACGATAATGTGTGTGTTCTGTTTATCACATCACTTTTGGTATTTCCATCAATAAGATCACAATGTGCCACAGGAAACATCCCTCTGGAGTAAGGGATCAGCGCAAATTGGCTGGCAGGAGCTGGATGCCAGAATTCAAAAATCGATCTAAGAGGCGTGCAATAAGAGAGGCCTATGTCCAGTAGTGGACTGTGATAGGCTGATGACGATAAAGCGTGGCAGGGTACAGCTAATACAAAATTTTAAAAGAACGAACAAATGAGATCACAAACAGTCTAAAGGAAATAATGATATTTAGTTAAGATAGTCTAGCGTTTGGTGATAGTGACTGCTAAACTAAAGGATGTGGGTGTCTAAAGTCAAACAAATTTCATTTTTCATTATCATATTTCACTAAATGGATATAATAAAATGTTTAATTAAAATATTTAAATAAAATAAAAATAAAAAAAAATGGGAAAAGGGTAGGCAGATGATGATGATGATGATGATGTTTAATTAAAATATTTATGGCACTTACCTACAACCTCCATGGTATTAGAAACAATGGACGTGGCAAAAGATGGGGCATCAGCCGTTACTTCACAGCTGAAGTTTCCGGACAGGCCGAAGCTGACCCTTGTTAGGACGACTTGACTTTGATTAGATCTCGCCAACTGTTAACAAATAATTAAAGATTTTATTTGTCTGTTACTACGCATAGTTTTTTTTCACAATTAATATTTTGTAAACAGTTTAAAGAAAGTCAAAGTGAAAACTTAAATATATTTATTGGATCTAGTGTATAGAAAACAATTGACAGTAAGTAACTAAATTTACATTTCAAATAAAGCGCTTTCTTTTGCACCTTAATTAAAAACCGTAGATGCTAAATTACATTTCTAATTTATCGTATCTATACAGACTTAACTGATTTCGATGAGGATATACGAATGTAGGAACCTATACAATATAAATCATACTGGTTGTCTATAAGAGATCTTAGACTGCGATAAGACCTCCCTACACTGTTTCTTTACATATTTTTAGATTTTAGTAAACAGTTTACTTTGTACGTATCATTTAAAAAAAGTATAAAACAATCACTTTTAAAGCACACATTGTGCATTACGGACGGATGAATGACTCCCATAACACAGGATTTATAATATTAATATTAGGATTAAGAATACAGAGTGTCATCACCCCTATTCATCCCGTGCGTGTCGAAAGAGCCGACTAATGGAGCAAACTGTGCAAAACAAAGGAAAACTTGAAACGAGTCCTATACCAACCCGTCTGGCTAGTGTGATATAGTAATTAATATTATTTAACGGGAATTAACGCGATCTCTTATTTAGGGTATTACGTTGCACCGGCCGTGGTCACAGGCTGACTGTCAGCCTGTGACAGCGGCCGATGCAACCTGGTCGAAACGTCAGGCAAACCAGAGGTATGTAATACCCTAAATAAGAGATCGCGTTAATTCCCGTTAAATAATATTAATTATCATGGAACGCGAAAGTTTAAAAGTGTGATATAGTAGGCCAAAATCTTCATCGTAAGGAGAGGTCTATATCGAGCAGTGAAATGTCAAGGGCTGTTGATGATAATGATGATGATGGTACTCATAAAACCAGCCTAAAAATCTATATGACATTACAATAAAGAAAAGACCAGTACGAGTACACAAGTACAAATAAGTTTTGCCGATACCAATCTCCAATTTATTGGAAAGATGCCGTGATATTAATTGCGTTTCATTATTTGCCTTTATCTGGTCAATATTAGAGGCGACCTTGCTATCCTGTTATTAAGGTAGGTGAACCGTAATAAATATATATTAAGTCCGTTGGCTACAAAAAGGTAATTGCTTTTATATCACACTTAAATGGTCTTAATATCGCTAATATTGAATCAAGTTATGTCAACAGGTACCAATCCAGAATCGAGTTCAACATTCAGGAAGCTTACAAAAAAAATACACTTTCTGGCGACTTTGTAAAGAACAGAATGGTCTGACAATTTTAACCGTATACGCCTTTTAAAGTTTACAGACCCACATAGAACAAGTTAAGCAATGGCAACTGTTAATCTAAAAACTATATAATTATTCTAAGTATACTACAATACTTGTCTAAAAGACGAACTTTTTTTAAAGATACGACTACATTACTACAAGTAGGTCTAAGTATACTGTCGTCGTTTAATATCAGAAATCAGGAAATTGTATAATATAATGGTACTATAAAAGAACTAATAATAATAGTAAAAGCCTTACATATTGATGATAAACCGAATAAAGCGCCCATTAATGACAGTAAGCACAGTAAACCTTGCACACACAACAATTATGTGCTTGTACATTTACAAAGACAATTAGACAAATCCGCTTTCGTAAGTTAAAACAACTGTACTATTAAAATTTTCCAATTTCCAATTTGATTGCTTCGGTGGTGCAGTGGTAGCGTATACGACTGCTGTGCTGAGGTCTCGGGTTCGGTTCCCGGGTCGGACCAAATGCTTGTAAGATCTACAAATATTTGTTTCGGAGTTTGGGTGTTTTCTATGCATAATAATAGGTCTTTACCTATGAAATTGCCGTTTTGTATGCAATAAGTGAAAGTACTTATTTTTTCAAACTTTTTTATTTCTGTTATTCGAAGTAATCACCCATGCAATCGACGCATCTTTCCTCAAAATCAGTGCTTCTTGTAAAAATCAGCTGGATGGGAGGCAACAAACTCTTCAAAGGCATTTTGTACTGCCTCTTGGGAATTGCATTTTTTACCTACTAAAAAGTTGTCTAAATTTTGGAAAAAGTAATAGTCGGTAGGTGCAAGGTCTGGTAGTCACATCTGCAACCAGCTTTGGTCAATCGGTCGTCCCCACTGCTCCTTCACGACAACGCGCGACCCCATACTGCGCAACAGACAGTCTCCAAGCTGCAAGAGCTGGGGTTGGAAGCTCTCCCTCATCCGCCATACTTACATAGGTAAAGACCAGACAATTTCATAGGTAAAGACCTAATATGTATGTATTCACAAAAAAAAGTATTCTATCACACAATATAGCTTTTATAGTAGGTACAAGCTCTGCTTAGTTTGAAACTAGATGGCGTTATGTGTCAGACGTCTGAAATATTATTAATATTAAATTATTTATCAAATCGACGACCACAACGATTAAAATGTATATACGAGTATGTTTTAATAGTTTTGCTTCATTTACAAGAGAGGTCAAACTATTTAAGAAGTAACACTAAAAGACAATCATAAAACTGAAGTACCAATGAATAGATAAAACTAGTAAAGTAATCAAGAACCATTTCTTGATTGTAGGGGTGAACACAAATAGGACTATTAACTAGTGCCTCTTCCAGTAACTGGAAATCAGATATACATTCAAAGATACCTAGAAAAATAGCTTGGATGAGAATTAATTGCTTACAATTTGAGCCTAATCCTATCCAGAATTAGATTAAATCTGCTTGTTAGCTTGGTGGCCTGACAAACGAGGCTCATTTGTAACGATAATGAATGTTTGTTATTTTCGTTCTGCAGATTTTATATTGACAACATTTCTATATAATCTGTTTATAACTAACAAGCTACGAATCGTAGCTATTATCTTGTTTATGTTTACCTAAATTGGTACGCAAAAAAAAAATCGATTTATCTCGTGCCAAGCATTTATCAGTGTTTGGCACATATGCTACTTGTGACTTTACAGATAGATATTTTGTACTTCTGTAAGTAGAAATAAAATGCTAGGTGGTTAATATCGGTAAATCATTTTGTTATTTTGTCGTTTAGAGTACCAGCCGTACTACAGGGAAGATCGTGAATTGTAAAGTTAAGATGTTCACCAACTGATGGACCCAGCCGGAGAAAGATAGCGAGGATTTATTTGTTGTGGAAGGCGGCAGATGCTATGGCATACGTCAAGAGATGCCTATATCTGGAAATTGACTGCGGTAAGCTCATTTAAGACGAAGTTGTGTGATCAATAACCCTTGATCTTCTCTAATGTTTAATAGTGTTATTTTGTCTGAGGATTGAGTGATATTCTGCTTTTCTCAATTATCTCAAATGATGGTAATAAACTCAAAAAAAGACCTTTTGTCACCAAACTTACTCCCTCAATAATACAGTTCTCATTTAATGTTATATTGCGTTCTTCTATAGTTTTGTGATTCTCTTAGTCGAGCGAATCCGAGCCAGCAATTGAATCAGATATCTTCTATGACTTGTGTGTTACCCTGTCACAAAATCAGCTAACAAATAAAATATATATGACAGTCATTCCGGAATGTAAATATTATAGTCAAGTATGACAATATTATATCCAAGGCGTCAGGCCCTCAATGACGATGTTGGAAGTGAAAACCAGATTCATTTCATTTTTTTCATCCAGAATATCTTATATATAAAATTCTCGTGTCACAATGTTCGTTCCCGTACTCCTCCGAAACGGCTTGAACGATTCTCATAAAATTTTGTGTTCACATCGGGTAGGTCTGAGAATTGGCCAACATCTATTTTTCATACCCCTTAATGGTAAGGGTGACCCATCCCTAATTTTTTTTTGTTTTGCAATACAACGTTTGCCGGGTCAGCTAGTTATTTATGCAAACGACTGGTTTTGCTAAGTTCTCGGGTTCAATGCCCGGGTCGACCAAATCTTTGTATGATCTGCAAATATTTGTTTCAGAGTTTGAGTGGTATGTATTTACAAAAAAAAAGTATAAAGTATTCTATCAGTGAGTCTAGCTTTCACAGTACAAGCTCTGCTTAGTTTGAAACTATGGTGTTGTATGTCAGATGTCCGAAAACATTATTTAAAAAAAACAGTGGCACTCCGGGACTACCGACAGAGGAGAAAATTTGATTTTTTTTACTTTACTCCTTATATAGACAGCTTTGAAGATTACCCGGAACCAACAGACAGACAGACAAAAAATATTTAAACTGGTTTTTAGGCATACGAGTAGGAATCGTGCATATAACCGTGTGAGCATGAAAAAACTTATTATTTTGACATGACAAACAGATTATTTGTCCGTGTGGTGACGGATTAAGAATACGGAATGTAACCACCCCTATTTATCCCGTGGGTGTCGTAAGAGCCGACTAAGGGAGCAAACTACGCAGGACAACAGCACTGCAAAGAGAAGGAAAACTTGAAACAAACCCTATATCAACCCGTCTGGCCAGCGTGGTATAGTAGGCCAAAACCTCCTTTCTAAGGAGAGGCCTATGTCCAGCAGAGGACTATTCTAGGCTGTTGATGATGATGATGATGAAGAAACAGATTATTAGAATATAATTTTATTTATTTGTATTTGTTCCACGCAATGCAATTATATAGCAAGCAATTAGTTAGGATGATAGAATACTGGTTTGAAGACGATCTTTTATGTTGATTGTGAATTAATTTAAAGTAGCATTTCAGACTCCTGCTAAGCCTTCTTTGATCAGACTAATTAGTTTGTAATAACACCCTTATTATAAAGAAAACTGACTAGTATTTCAAAATAGTAATATTCACATCTTAAATAGTAAAATGTTTATAAAAGATTAAGACTTAGATGCCTATGTGTGTTCTTCTCTCTTATTACTTCAATCAAGTATTCGTTTGAATGTGTTATAAAACAAACGACTTCAGTTTTAAGTTT